CCCCCCCCAAAAAAAAAAAAAAAAAAAAAAAAAAAAACAAAAACACACACACACACACACACACAGTGGTACCCTCACGGGGATAGTCAGGGAAGCTTTATGTGACCTTCAAACGTCGAAATCTGATGATAACTCGATTTTTGCAAAACGAGGTAAAACCAATAACTTCCCGATTTTTGAAAATCTTTGATTTTCTTAGCAGGAAGTTAAAAATGATTTAAAACCTCTAATAATTTTTAATACTTTTACAGAATCAAGCAGATAAACTTGTCCAAGATTTTCACCAGGAAGAACAGCATATTCTCATTATAAGACAGAGGGATTCAATTTATATAATTGACGATAATTTTTGGCATAGAAGGGGAGTCCACTCGTTCTTTTGTAAAGGATATGTACTGTTATTGTTCTTAAGTGTATTCCCCATAATTATGGTGATTATCATTATTTTATTGATTTATTTCATAAAGCTTCTTGTAAAGTGGACTTATGTGTTACTGGATCGTGTTTCTGACATGAAAAAAGAACTTGGTTCTGAAGTTATAGTTACACCAGTATTAACTTTAGAATCTAATCTCAAGGGTAGTGTGACTTCAGAATCATGCACAGAAAAAAAGTGTTTATGATTTTGTATAACGGTGATGTAGCTTTTGGCACAATAATATAATAAGTGTCTTAATACAGTAAATGTATAAGATTTAATACATTAGGCACAAGTTCAAAATTACTTTTTTTTCTGTGTAGGTACAGAATTTTTTGAATAATTTCTTGATTGCACATAATTCTTAATAAAAAATTTTTATAATTGACTCTGTTTCTATTTATTAACCAACTTGTAAACATTATTTGACATTAACCATCATTCAGTACATCGAGATCGTATGTAAAAAGTACCCTCACCCAGCATTATGCAACGTGTTATTTTGCCTAGGGACGGGGAACTTTTTATCCACGATCGGGTTGTATGCGGTATCATCTCACTTCTACTAATTTCTTAGTAGGAGTTCCGATGTAATAACACCGGGTTACTGATGACGATTGTTATGAAAAGATGACGATATAACTGTACCGCTGGCGAGAAATCACCTACTGATAATTCCATAAATCACTTATCCAATACAAGTAGTTTCTTTTCTTCGGCAATTAGAAATTTACGCATAACCAAATTAAAAATCACGGCGTCATTTATTACAGAACATGTTATGCTTGCTTCTAAAAATCACTAAGAGAAATCTCTCGTTATAATCTTATTTTCTTCTTATTCATCATGAATAAAGAAGCTTCCGCAAACTTCAGTTTAAAAATTAATTTTTATGTATTTTTATATATGTTGTAAATTAAAGTAATCATTATTATTTCAGTCTTAAACAATGCATCACAATTTTTTGGAAAGATAAGTACATTTTTTAACAGTTAAAAAATTTTTTAAGCCTTTCAAAAAATTTCCTACGTTCTACGGCGAAAATTATCGAACCGATCAGAATAATACTTATAGCATAAGATGCAGCGTGTTTCGGAGATGGTGGTAGTATATGATATAGTATATGATATAGTGGTGATTACTTATCCGGAACCTACTTTTTTTTTTACTTAGAAATAATGAATTTTTATTGTAACTGAATTTATTCTATTCGATTGTCATTTGTTTAAAGTAAATTTTTTTATTCTGTTGGGTATGTTTATATGCTAGGCAGATTTCTTCACTTATGAAACCTGCAATTTCTTTAACTGAAATTTTCAATGCTCATTACAAATTTTTTTTTTTCATGTCAATTATTATTCATTTTTGTAAGAAAGACACGGAAATGTTATAATGATTGCAGATTGAAAGTTACAATGAATATTAGCTAGAATAATTACATGGATAAAAAGTGCATGCCAATTAGATAGAATTGGGAATCTGTACAAGTCAAAACAACACTTTAATTGAATTTTAAGTCTAGATGTAAAAATGCAATTCTATAAAGCGCTCAGCAGAGCGGGCGAGTAACTGCTAGTATATGAATATATGAAAAATATATAAAAATGCATGTATAGTTGTATTTTTTTAATGTGTTATTTGGAATCAATGGCACAGAAAAGTTACTTCATTTATATGTGTATCTTCCATATAAACCTCAATTCCAAAAAAAAAAAAGTAAAAACTTGGATTTTTTAGAGGGCTGTAAAATTAAGTCGTGATTTCTTACCACTTTTTGATACATTGTTTATTAAAAAAAAATAGTTTAAATGAAAATATCGATTGAGGTTCATATTCAAGGCAATTGTATTAAGAAAATTATAAGCCATATCGCAAGATGATTGGCTTAAAACTCTTTGAGCTAGACTGCACACAATTTTGAAAAAACTCGTTTCGAGAAAAACGCGTTTGAAAAAAAAAGTGACAGAAAAAGTTAATGTAAAATAGTATTAAAGTAATTATTAAATCGCTTATAACTTTTGAACGAATAGGAATTTTTAAATCTATATTTTTGAATAGTTTCACAAGCGATTTATAAAAAAAAAAAAACATTGAATTTTTTTAAACCTGTACACGTATTTCCCCCCCTTAAAAAGTTTAAAATCAAAATTTTGGACTAAATACAAAAAAATTCAAAAAAATCATGAAAGCTTTTTTGTTAGAAAATTACATTTTCTATCAAAAAGCTTTTTATAAACTTTTCCCGTATTTCTAACCCTTGAGCCAAAATTAGAAGTCAAATTTACCTAAAGGTAAAAGGGCCTATAGCTAAGGGTTAATAGGGATTTGTGTTGAAAGGGCGTATAAAAAAAATTTTTTTTGCCATTCGGTTTGCTCAAGCCTTGAAAAAGATTGCTATATGGTAATAAGTACCGAGTTTAGTTTGAGATCTATACTCTGTGCAATAATTCTATGGCAATATTCGAGTTTTCCCGCGTATTTTGTGTTTATATCAATATCCAGAGTTTGTAAAATATAGTAAGAAACTAAATTAAAACAATTTTAAGTAATTGTAATTTTTTTTACAACTTTTCAATTATCTATTTATTATTACACTTATAATTTCAATTTTTATCAATTCAAATACTTATTAAAAAATTGCATTATGTGAGATTATACTAATCTAAGCTCAGTCCGTTAAACTGCTCATAACTTCGTCTGTAGTAATTGAAGATAGTCCATGGAAGCCTCGACAAGATTTTGTGAGATCCATATTTATTGGATCACAACTTGAGTCTCGGACATCTTTTGAAATCAGTATATTTGCTTCGCAATTCTTATCTCCTGTTTTCTTCATTGGAATATTTATCTGCACTGCTGCAGTGCTTATACCGTCATGATATTTCTGATTGCAAAAAAAATATGTTAATTCTTCGTACGTTTCATTTACAACTGTCTCCGTTTGACAACTTATGCTTCGTTGTACAGGTTTAAGAATAACACTTTCAATACCAGCATCAGTCTGTTTCTGATCAACACTATAAACATGCAAATAATCACCTTGCTCCATTACTGGATTAATTGAATTGGTGATATTTATCGAATTTTCGGTTTCATTACTCACAAAAGATTTCTTAATATTCGAAACTTTTAATAATTCACGATTTTTGGCTCGCTGGAAACGTCCCAAGGATTCGATATTTTTTTAAATATTTTCACTTCCAGGAAAGATGGAAGGAACGTAAGACGGATGTAACGGATGTTCCGATTTTTCGTTGTTGATAAAATGAGAACTACAAATTCTCGTATTTTTATTTGGTTCCCAGTCTTTTGGATTTTCTCTGAAAACAAAACAAATTAAAAGGTTAAGTCTTTATTATTACATAAATATCATAAATATTAATAACTTAACTATCAAAATTATAGTTTTTTATAGGGTAAATGCACCAGTTGTTGACCGATCACCAATTAGTTGACCGATGTATAAAAAAAGTTAATTAATTAATATTTTACAAGGGTTTTTTTTTCTTAAAGTATTAAAATAAAAAAATATGGCATTTAATTATCATAATAAAAAATTTCGCAATTAATTGCGCAGTGATTATAGCTTTAAAAAAATATTCTGAGTTTGTTTACAACGCAACCAGCCATAAAGCGGTCAAAAATAACTAGCGTACAATTGGAGAGTGAGTGCATTTCATCATTAATTTAGTGATATTTATCGGCATAATATAAAATATTTTAGTTTTATTATGTTAATTAAAAATCAGATTCCAACTTTTTTGAAAAAATAAAGTTAAATTATAAGTTTTAATATTATTTTAAGACCGGTCAACTATTGGATCCGTCAGAAGCCCTTTACCCAGTAAAAAATTCATTCGGTCATTTATTAGACCCTCTGATTTTATCACAATCCAATTAATGAATGTATATTTATAATACTAACTTCTCAACCTCAAAATATTAAATCTGTCAAGTGTTTAAAGTACTTTAGTCATTCAATATTTTGTAAATATAAAAATAATCATTATAAAATGTATATTTATAATTAAAATAATACTTAAAATAGGCGCGCAGTAGCCTATCGGATCCGGCCCTTGCTTACCAAAGCATTGGACCGGGTTCGAGTCCGGCGTACACCAATTAATATTTTCAATATTTAAGTGTATTATTCTGCTCAGCCCAAGAAATAAAACGAGTTCCAATCTCAAAAGTTTACCCCCTACCGTAGTCGCTCATGACCTTAGTAGTTTATGCGACTTTAAACAAATTAAGAAAAAAAAAAAAATACTTAAAATCTTTTTTGATTATTAAATTTTATTTTGTTCTAATTTTTTTAGTGAACGGTTATATCAAAGAACGAATTATTAGAAGAAAAAATTGCTAAGCAATTAAAAAATAAAAAAGAGTTACAAGCTAGTAAAAAAGCTTTAATTGAAAAAAAGAAGGAGAAGAATAAAAAAATTTCAAGTGAATCAGAAGAATTATCGTCATCAAAATGAATTTGTGATTATTTTTGACCTAAAGAAATGTGACTTATTATGTAAATTATTGCTATTTATATTATTTTATTAAAAAGTACGATTTAAAATTATATTGTATGTTTAGTTTTGTTAAAGATGTCGTTAATACTTCAAAAGTACTGCATAAATTTAATTACATAAATGTAGTTTACAAAATTACTTATAATATAATTATTTGAGCGGTCAATTAATTGGAGAACAGTCGGTCATTTATTGGGTTTCTTCGATCAATAATTGGTGATTTTAGTATTTAAAGATTCAAATAACAAAATTAATATAAATTTGTTAATTTTTATTATAAATAGTTACTAATTATTATTAATTAAGTATTTAACTTCAATAAAATCCATTACAAATTGTTTTTAATAGGTTAATAGATTTTTTATAGCTTAGCACAGAAAAAGAAAACCTTACATATATGTAGTTTATAAAATTACTTATAATTATTTCAGCGGTCAATTAATTTGAGAACGGTCGGTCATTTATTGGGTTTCTTCGGTCAATAATTGGTGATTTTAGTATTTCAACATTCAAATAACAAAATTAATATAATTTTGTTAATTTTTATTATAAATAGTTATTAATAATTATTATTAATTAAGTATTTTACTTTAATAAAATCCATTACAAATTGTTGTTAGTAGGTTAATAGATTTTTTATAGCTTAGTAAAGAAAAAGAAAACCTTAATCGGTCAATAATTG